AGGTGTGTATAGCAATAACAATAATTGATTTTAATTAATTGAATATTAATTGATTGTTTCAAAATAAATCTAATTATTGTTGTTAACCATGGTGGTCATCGTTCTTTTCGACATATAGTTATAAAACACAAAATACTTATACACTAGACATCATTATATTATCTGGACGTTTTGACATTTAAATCATAATAGATTAATATATACATACCACAATTACAGGGTATTTACTTATCACTAATATTAAAATAAATTGAGATAATTAATGACTTATATTGACAGGAATTGTTTTTTATTTTAAAACAGTTACGTTTGCTTGGATAAGTTGACGTCTGAATAATAATATAATAATTCTCGATGAGAAATATTTCCAAATTATACAAATTATAATCTCAAAATTAGTTGTTATACAAAAAGAAAACCTATAATGCAGCGCATCACTAACTCTTTGTCAAAGAAGACTTATATATAGTATGAAGAAAAGTTTATTATACTAAACTATACTTTGAAGATAGATACCAAGAAAATATAATGATAAAAATACGAAAATCGCCATCTTGACTTTCGCTCGAGAAAATCTATGCACGTATGCATTAATAAAACTTTAATATATTATATTCAGCGGTTATACAAAAGAATAAAATCATAGAGCATAATATATTAATATTACACTAACTATTTAAATATTTCATAACAATTTTATAAAATGCATAAAAAGCTGACGTTTAAGCGAAATTATATTTTGCCTCAGCCGCCTCGAGCTGTTTGTTTTAAAAGTAAATACATACTTTATTAATACAATACCATTCGTTTAAACACGAATTATATCTTGTATTTCTCTAAAGCGCAATTTTTTGTATTTATACTTATTAATATTTTGAACAAACGTTGGTAAATCATAAAATTTAGAATTCCGCCCTATAATACAACTGTAACCCCGGTGCACCTGGTACATTGTACTTTTTTTTCGACGTTAAATTAATGTACGTCCAGGTCAACGGAGTCAGGTGGTACAGGCGCTTGGTACATAATATTATATATCTATAAATTATAGTTGGTCACGTTCGGACACGGATGTTCCACTACTGGTAAATTGGTGGTAAAAGTGTAATCCTCCTATAACAGTTCAGATATAGCAGAACACTCGCGAGTGTGCTGGTCTGTTATCATTAAAATTAGTTATAAAAAAAACATACATCATAAATCATAATAATAATAGGTAGGGCCAATACGAGAATCCGGAAAAACTACAAGTGGTGTACTTAGATTGCCAATCCAGGACGCCGTTCTGTCAAAACTGTATAATTGCAGAGGAAAACAACGGACGTGTCATTTGAATTATCAAATTTGACAACATTATCACTATATTATGTACCTACCGAAGAAAACGTCATAATAGCGGTAAAAACATCCCATTCCCATACGAAAAAAAAAAACGAAACTATGCCAAGGTCAAGAGATTATATGCTTTTTTTATGTCAAAAGAGGAACGTGGCATGTTACTCATCGTAGGTTTCGTTTGGACAGACGTTTCGATCGTAACAATCTGACTCTTTCGGAGTTCGTGTTCACTGCGTCGTCTCGAATCGCCACGAACTGATATCGCATAGTTGACAAAGTTCAAAAAAAAAATATTTCGAGAAAAATAACGTTAATACGTGTAAGCAATGTTTTTCAATTTAAACTCTGTGAATGTTTTTATCCAACGTCTCCCCGAGTGGCGATTTGTATAATACCGTCGTCGGCCATTAATCAGAACCGTTAGGAATATATTTGTTCAGAGCCAACAGGGGCCAACGCGATTAACATCCATGACTAATTTTTACGGTAAAAAAAAAAAATAAATAAAAAAACCGTTCCTATAAAATGTACTTCCATCCAGAGCGCCATATCGTACAAGCGGCGGTGTACCTTCCCTCTACCGCCGCCGCCTACCCACCCACTGACTCATCCATGTGTACAATGAATTTCTCTATTTCGCTCGTTCAGCCCTTTTAAACGGTCCAGTAGGGAATAGCATCACGTACAACCGTACTGCAGGAGGGCCTGCAGTATAGCATTATAGTGCTGATAACACTCCTCGCACACATCTCGTCGTTACACGGACAAGGGTCGTAAAATAAAAAACGCACACAAATTTAATTTAATTTACCATATATATATCGTTTTCCTTTTGTTTTAGCTTTTTTTGGAGGAAAAAAATTAGGTACACATACTGCAGCATGTACGTCTACCGGCATGTATGTCTCTATATAATATATATCTTTTACGCATTTTTGAGACTTTTTAAGCTGAAATGCCATTTTTGCTAGTATTTTGATAATCATACACATTATATACTTCATGTTGAGAAACGTAGTAGGCGGCCGGCTTATGCGCAGGACTGTGGCAATACTACGAGGCAGGTATACTGCAGAAAGATAGTCCACTGCAGGATGGGGGTGACAAACTGGTGTTGCCCGACTGCGGCCCTACAAAAACTGGTAGCCGCCAACTACGTTTCTTGACTTGAACGGGGTATAGATAATATTACAACACATGAAATCGATGAAATAATATATTATTGTTGTTAATTTAACTTGTCGGTAAGATATTCCCGACTGCGGAAGTTCTACCGGTTGATCTGATGCGTGTTTGACATTTTAATCGTTTGCTTTTGCCGTAGTATATTGATAGTGATAATATTATTTCAAAAAATATCGATGAGTAAAAATTTATTGACTATAGATTGATTCGACAATCGTTTAATCAACAAATATCAATGGGCCTCAAAGTAAGTACTTTATTAGCTAGAATTGGAGTTTATTTTACACTTTTAAAAAAAAATTCATGGTTCTGGGGCCCTTCGCTGTCTTGAGTTCACAAACTGGTGTAGAACTAATAAACCCAAAATTATGTGAGAGTGAGCTTACTGCATTTGTGGAGCATAATAAACCAAAACCCGTAGCGTGTTGCAGCAATGAACGTTTATATATAGTTCGTCGGTGAATTTTAAATTAATTAACAGTACATCAAAATTGTGATAACGTAAACAATTTTAGAAATGTTGCGCAATTTAAAACGATCGAGACGAGTTAAACTGTCGCCAAGTAAATGTAACGGTCATAATAATTAAACATATTATTTATTGAATAAAGTAGAAAATAAAGAGAGATAATAGAAGTAAAAAAACAACTTACAATACTCGTTCTTAAAATGCAATACTTTTGATTTTTTCAATCGTTTCGTTTGTCATACTAATAGACTGTCTCGGTGCTGTATGTATAAGAGGGCATAACACCAACAATGTTCTGCGCGTTGACGTAGATCGGCTGAAATTGATTTAACAGCGAGTATTATATTATAGAAGTATTATGCCTATGATGAAAATGAAAAACACTAACATTATTAAAGGCATTGCTTCTCATGAAATGTTATTTTAACAAAGAGTTACAATCATTTTAAAGAAGAAGAGAATACCTATATTAATTTAGAAATATACTTAACGTAACAAAAAACCGAAATGAGAGTCCCTCAAAAACGTTTTTATCTTTCATCTTTATCAAAAGTTCTTAAGCTATACAATTGAACAAGAAGCAATAATTAAGTAGTTCTACAACTATCATGCATCACCATGGTTTAATTAATTTCCACTATAATTCCGTAATAACAAAAAATAACTACCAACAGTTTTAATGATGGCATGGGGTCAACTGGAAGTTATTTTTAATCAGAGTTCAAACAAATAAACATTTTTCTAAAATGTCATTCAAATCTCTACAATCAAACCATCCTAGATGCTAGTGAAACATAATTTTCTTAAGTTGAATACATAAATCTATACTTAGTATAATTTTAGTTGTATATATTTAGTTGTCATTAGGGCTCCAAAGTTTAAGAAGTTGCATATTTTATACATGCTTTTCAGATATGGTAGAACAAGCAATAGAAAAATATTGTATATTAACAACAATGACCGTGTTTTTTAAGACGGAAATTCAAAATGAAAATCTTTGCATTTCATATCGTTAGCTTTGATACATATCTTAATATTTCTTAGCTTTGAAAAAAATGTCATCCAAATTTCGATGTAATGACTGATCAGGTAGATAAAATAAAAAATGGACTTATGCATTATAGCACCTCAACCTATAATTGTATAAGTAAAATATGTTGAAAAACATTTTTCTATTTTTCTCAATACTGTTTTCCATTCAAATAACAAAAACAATAAATCCTGACCAGATGTATTAATTGTTTTTTAAAATATTATTTATTTATTTTAATCCACCTGGTTATGAGTACCAGTATACAATAATGTTACACTGTAGAATAATGAATTATTACAAAATAATACAAAATAATACATAAATTACTAATTTTAAATTTTGAGCAGAGCGATGAATTTATTGATTTCATATTGATGTGTTTTTTAAATTTAATATGTGAATCAATAAAAAAAAAATGGCACCTTTGTACAGGCATCTAATAGGTGATATTTCGAACTAAATTCAATTATATTTGTTGATCATTGAAGCACTAGAAAACGAAGATTATTTCTTGAATTAAAAACAGGAATTATTAAAGTTTATGCTCTTTAAGAAGTAATAATTCTGTACAGGACAACTCACCATTAATTAACGTATGTACACAAGCCATTTCGTTGAACAACCGTCCATAAAATCTGTCGATTCTACACCAAATTTGACCGATAATAACATTACATTAATACCTTATTTGCATAATACAAAATACGTCGAGCAAATACATATCATCTAATAGTGTACGCAAATGAGTTGCCAAATAAGTGACAATTAATCATTCATTTTTTTGAATACTTGTTCTCTTCTTACTTACTTGATCCGTCAAACCCAAGTAGCACAGTTTTGCCTAGTTTTTGGCCTGTCTGACTTGATTATTTGTCCCTGCTACAGCCCCCTTAATGGATATTGAATTATTTTAACTGCATTTTTAAAAAATGAAATATTATCACTACGATCGTTTTTGTCATATTTCCGGTGCACAGGCGTGCAGCAGAGCCCGATAAATGCCACACAAAATCAATGTGGGCCTCGTGGCGCTGGCCGCTCTGGCGGCGACTGTGTTAGCCGACCCTTCGGTGGACCGGCGGGCCAGCATGGGGTTCATGGGCATGCGGGGCAAAAAAGACCGCGACCAGGGCGGTGGAGGCAGCGGCGGAGACGAGACTTCGGCCGCGGTCGACCTGGACAAGCGGACCATGGTGTTCCGGCGCCCGATGTTCGACGGCGGCAGCAGGCCCGTGGTGTTCGGCGGCGGTTCGGCGGAGGGCTTCAAGCGGGCCAGCATGGGGTTCATGGGCATGCGTGGCAAGAAGGACTACTATAGCAATAATAAGGGCTCGGCGGCCGGATTCTTCGGCATGCGCGGCAAGAAGGTTCCGTCCGCGGACGCATTCTACGGCGTCCGTGGCAAGAAGTGGTCGGACCACGATGACGCCGTCGACGCGGACGTCCAATGGTCTCCGATCTATATCCTGTACAGGATCATCGACGAACTCAAGTCGGACCTTTCGAACCGGGGTGAGCGTTTTATTTCCGTAACAATAATATTTATTTACTAACAACAAAAAGGTTGATACAATTGAGATAACATGCCATATTACGGGTGATCTACTCTTCCGCCAAAATCGACCTTTCCGTTTATCGCCAGCACAATAATATAAATTTCCTTTTTCCGCCACCACAAATTTCAGTTTCTATGTTTTGGTAACCCCTTATCATGTAAACAAGTGGAGTTACTGATAATTGGTAATTTTTAAAATAACGAAAATAATTAGGTATTCAATTTTTAATTAAATAGGTATATGATTTTACAAAAACACATTCAACTACTATTGTGAACATATTATCTGTGATAAACTATACATAGGCATATTATATAATATTTTAATTCTTTCAATCAGGGGTACCAAAATATAAAAACTGAAATTTGTGGTGGTGGATAAAAGAAATATATATTATTGTACTGGCGGTAAACGGAAGGTCGATTTTGGCGGAAAACAGTGACGCCCCATATTACAAGCAGGTTGGTTTACTCACTAAAGTCTATCTCTGTGGTGGAGTGTTCGGAACATTCAATAAAAATAAATAAATATGTTCACGTTCAGTCCTTAAAAAGGATCTCGTTCACGTTTATATTTTTTGAATGTGTTCACTTAATTTTTAAAAAATTGTTTTTAATAATAATTACAACAAGAAATTATTACTATATGTAATATAATTAATCAATGTATTTTAAACATATATTTATTAAATGGTAAATAAATTGAGTGTCTTAAAATTCGTTCAAATTCATTGAAATATAAACATCGTTAGTGATGAACTTAATATGGACGTGAAAGTGTGAACGTGGTTTCATGAACGACATTCTTTCCAAACACTGGACTACTGGTATGAGTAGGACTCAAGACAAAACAACAAAATAACTAAAAATAATTTTACATAAATAAAACTTTATTATCAATGTTTTCCAATTAATTTATTTATCACAATATATACCTAAATACAATATTATTATTTATTACCAAACAAAATTATCAATTTTACATAACCGATGCAATGTTTAAAATGAATATAGTTATTACCAAAAACAGATAAATTTATTTTTAACCAGACACAAATTTTGCAAAAACACACAGTGAATAAATTTTATTAAGTTCGGTTTCTTTCGTGAGGAAATATAAACCCACTTGAACTCATATATCTAGAAGCATATGAATATATACTGAGTATTTAATTATCATCCCGTGGCGGTGGCTCGTGTAGGCGATTTAGACGTTAGCTGGTGCTATATTGAGCAATGTTTCTCAACCTGTGCTCTACGAAATTCCGAAGTAATTATTAATAATACTAATTGGTAATAGTAAACATTTTACGTAAAATGTAATATATTATGAATTTAATAAGAATATGATTTTACACGAGTTTTTATTACCTAGATGAACACATAATTTCAAGCTATTAGCTAATAATAATATTTACTGAGGGCATTAAATATTTGGATACATTAACCCAAAACCCAACACGTTTGACTTTTTGGGTAATAGACACAACGTTTCGACGCATAAAAATATAAAATAAAATATATTATTGGGTCCATAACCATAATTTTACCTGGAAAAGCAAAGAACGATTGGGTACACATAAACACGATACGTCTGGGTATAATAAAATGAACGGTAACATAATATATAGGTACGTAATTCACGTACTGTTATCGACTAAGCTACAAAAAAACTTTATAGATTTAATATAATACATAATGATCAACATATTTCTAAATTAAAGTTTCGAAAAAGTTTTCGGGAGACAATATTATTAGCTATAAAGTGGCAACCTCCTCGGTGTCTCCTGGGTAAAGCTAATAGGCTCTAAAAAGTAAAATAGTAAAAATAAATGTTTTAAAACTTTTACCCAAACGTGGTATTTAAAAAAAATGTATGTACTTAAACGTTTTGTTCATTTTTGATGTCTGAAAAAAATGTGTACCTAAATGTATGCACCCAATCGTTTTCCTAATTCCTAGATAAAACTATCTTTGTACCCAGGTTAAAAAGGTTGGTTAAAACTGGAGTAGATACATATAACGAAATAAACTGATAGCAAAGAGAAGATCCTTGGCCAACATGTTTAGAAAAATATACAACATGATGTATCTACACTCCTATCAGTAGCGAGAGACAGAGATAGAAAGAGAGAGGAAAGCTTAACAACAAAAAATTCTATAGATAATAAACGCTTTAGGTCCTATTTCAATACCAAAATTCAAAGGTATAGGCTATATCTCTTTCCAAAAACGTTGGTACTTGCCATGGCAAGATATGGGAGACGCCAAGTATATATATATATATATATATATATAATATATTAATGACATATTTATGACTAAGGCTCGGAAGTTGTGAGAGTTATATTATTATATATACCTTTATATTATATTCGTCTGTATGCTCTCGACTAATAAGAGACAAAGAAATCCATTCTGATAATAATACAATGATGAGTTTAAAAATCAAAAACTTAAAACTAATATTTTTCATATTTCGTCAATTATAGAAAACATTAAGTGCATTTTTTTAATCGTGTATTTTAATGTTTTCTTAAATTAACTGGTATACAAATAATAATACAAACAATAATTAAAATATATATTTAAACCTAATCGAATCAATAATTAATATCAAAATAAATCTGAACCGCTTTAATCATGGACAACTATGACAGACAACTAACATTTTTAATGATTATACCTATCGACTTACTGAGAGGTTTTTCATGTTTTTTTTTACTTTATTCGTGTCTACCAATTACATCATCTAGCACTGACAAATTTAACGAGTATAATGTAAATTTATTGAAGTTTATCGGCCTAGAATCATAGATGTAATCTTTATAAACTTGAAATATCAGGTCTGTCGGGATTAACAAACAAATGTTGCTAAATGTACATAACAAAACACACTGATGATGACAAATCTATTAAATACACGCACTTGACACGTGCTGGTCCCGAAATGATATTTGATTGTTTCCTATAGTTACTCGAATGTACGCACTTAAACCCGTACGTGCCTTACATTTCCTAACAAAACATGATTAAAAATACGTTGGTGGTCAGTTGTTTCTTGAAGCTTGAAAATATAATAAATATGTAGATCGTATAATATTCATTTAATGTTTCAGAGCGAAATTTGGTGGCGGCTAAATTCGACGAAGAAAGAGAAATGCGTTGAATTTTAATTTATTTTTTTAATAATATTACCGTAGCATGAAATTAATACCTACTATATAATATGAGTTTTGCTATTTAAAATTGTTTAAGATGACTTATTTAGTAGTTAATATCTATGACGTTAAATAAACATTTTATTGATTGTATAAAGGAACTACATAATAACTAATTTGTTTGTCTACATTATATTATTATATTAGATAATTATATTATATTATATTGTTTACAACTATTAATTCCGCGTTTTATTCTATCCATTTAATTTGTCATCTGAAGGAAAAAAATATAAATGTTATGAATTATTGTGCGGAAAATAAATTCATTGATGTTAGTTACACCCATTCGGCGAATCATTAATCTTTCTTAACATTATTTTTTATCCGGCGTGTTATTCAGATATAAAATATAAAAATAAAAATATGACCATTAGTCACCACTAATAACAATTTAACTTGGTAAAAATATTGATGGAAACAATTTTTGGCTGAAAATAATAGCCAACGATCGGTTTCATAATAGTATGGGTACCTATATTTATACCTATAATGATAATTTATATAATTCATACTGGTGTGGCCTCATGAATTTCAGTAAAAGATTAATACTAACTTAAATATTATGTTTATTTCAAAATCAACAGTAAGTAGTGCAGAAGCAGCCTAAGGTTGAGTATTCAAATACGTATTTCAAATAATTTTCAAAATAAGTATCTATACTTGAGTACTTTTAAAAAGTACCTTTTACAAGACTCTTGTAGTATAGTATACAATATAAGGGTACATCACGATGACGTTTTTTCTTAAATGCATCAACATTCACTAGTAAATTAAAACGAATAATAATTTATGATAAATCAAAAATTATGTTTTAAATATAATATTGGCTAAGAATAAGTTTTCATCTGAGTGAACGATATAAGTAGCGTTTAAATATATAGTACCTACTACCTACATGGTTTAGACAAAAGTGGGTGGTACCATTAAGTTTTTTAATAAGGATGCCAAAATACACCCTTCTATCTCCAATTGACATGCCTAGAAAAAGGACGGTCAGTAGGTACTAGCTCAGTTTTAGTATCCATTATGAATTATAATTTATGATATAATATGATAGATACAGGGTTGGAGCTATACTGGTGTTTCTGAAAACGAAAAGAAAACACCAAAATATTATGCGTTTTTAACATATTTGATTTTAAAACAAAATGCAGACAACCTTACTCGTTACCTCAGTTCACGAAATTCAAAAAACAATAAATGTATTATAAATCATTCTGTCCAATCGCACGCGTTAGTGTACTATTTATAGGTCATCATGGCCTGTTAGCAAAAAAAACTAAAAAAAGTCACTGGGTCACGCGTCACAGTGAATAATGTGCACAACAAATCGACATAAACCCTTTGACCGGTCAATGTAATATGGGTAGTACATAAACGACTACTACACTACTGTTTAGGGACTGTAACAGGGTTCACGATGGTGTCGGATCTCAGAAGCGCTGACGAAACATGAAGTACGGTAAGACTAAATTATTTCGAAGGAAAATATATCAACAACAACGATGCAATTCGTAGGGAACCTTTGTGTACAATGATATTTTAATAAAAAATACTATATTTCTTTGATTTTGATACACAATTAATGTAAAATTGACAGCTGGTGTTCGCGATACGGCCTGTATTTGATACAATTGTAAAGTTGGGTCATATTGTACATGTTGTTATGCATTTTGTGTGTCATGTAATCCAAATGAATATAGTATTATATTCATTATTCTTAGTACAGTAGTAAACATTTTTTATAACGAATATCTTTATAACGAAAAACTCTCTATAATGATAACATCGTAACTTAATATTGGTTGGTTTGCATTATAAAGTATAATTATATCAATCATACGTTAATTCATACTCTGTAACGAGTTGGCCACTCTCGATAACGAAACAATATATTTTACGATTTATTATTTTACATGCATCAACACAGTGTAATAAGGCAAACAGTTTGCTGCAAACTTGGCGTAACTGATTTCAAGGCTTTGGAAGGAGCAAACAAAGATGGCCGACTATTTTAAGTAGTTTAGTATGACGGCGTTTTGTGTAGGCAATTTTGATACCTACTACAGATTAGAAAGAATATTGTATAAATACGAGTATGACCTAAGCGGCCTAAGCTAACGGAGAAACTCAATATTTTAATCGTACTCTCAAAGCCGAAAAAAAGTCTATAAATATACAAACTATGTATTCCAATTTTATATATTGTCATATAGATTATATAAAGCCATATAGGCTAGCAAAAAAATAAAATTGGTAATAACGATGTGAGTTTAGTAATATTATTAGTTTAATGATTCATACAAAATTCAAATATATATATATACATTTCTTTGATGATATATACTTATAAAAACATTTTTTTTTTTACTAAAAAACTATAGTATTTCTCTTATCGGTAAATGTTGACGACAAGATGTTAGTAACATTTGATATTCTTTACCATTCAATCAAAATTCGCGCTTATGATAACACGTATACAATCGTTACATATTTTTTTTTTAACATCAGAATTCACTATGAACTATGATTTATTAAATCTGTATCATATGAAAAAATGAAAATGAATTTTAAAAACACACAGGAATGAAATCCGTTGTAATCGAATCTGCATTACACTTTACATGACTGTATGATATGATAACGGTCTATTTCGAATTTAAATCATCCTTTTTGTTTTTGTTGGACTACGTTTGTGTTGAACCTAACCTAACCGACAACTAGAACGAGGTGATAAGTCAACCAACCATCACCTGCTACACGGCGAAGACGAGTAGTCTAAATCACGTGTAACGAGCAACAGGTACTTACTGCTTATATATAAGAAGCCTATATTATAATCGCATTCAGTATACTGCACCTTTGCGGTAATGTATACTATTATTACGTATATTATTCTTATATTTACAGTCAAATAATTGTATTTTCTCGCTTTAATGTATTAATTTATCAGCGGATAACAACTACAGTATTATAAATTCAGGGCTTGAAATTTATTTGAAAATATACTTATCGATAAAAATCGAATTAATTAGTATTAAAATTAAATTTTTTTCAATAATAGTCAAAATTGATAAGGAATCAAAACAAATTTAAATCTATAATTTCACCAAACTAATAATCATTTTATAATTTGTATACACAAATCGATTTAAAATTAAAAAATAATTAATTTGATAAAATACAATTCAACTAATAGCTGGCAGGTCTATAATATCGTTCATCGGCAAGTAGGTACCTACCTAATAACTGATAATTATTGTAGGTAGTTAATGACTAATATAAAATATTTCGTTTTCTTAGGCCCGTTCCACACCCACGCGTAACGACAAATATTATCAAACACACAAACTATTTGACAGATTTCTTGTACATAGAAATCAAAATTAAAAAAATTAATATAATTGATTTTCAATAACGAAAAAAAAGAAAAACTACATTAAAAATATCATCAAATAATTATTAAACAATTAAAGCCATATTGTGCAACAATTTAAAAATCATAAAATTATAAAATCAACGTACCTATTATTTTAAATTTAAATCAGAAAAAAACAATCTTGATAAATCACTTTTAAGTGACATTGAAATTAAAATCGAAAATATATTTCGATTTAAAGCACGGATTTTAATATGACGTTATTATGACTTTATTATGGAGTTTCAGCCAAATTATATTTTATACCTTTTATTCTCGAGTAAATTTTATGGTCAAAATTACATTATTTTTATCGCACTAAACACGGTGGATTTGGACATTTGGTAACGAGAATTTCTTTACCCACGTTCAAAGTGGACATATTATTCAATTTTTATTATTAAATTCATTTATACTGTTTTTCATTTATTATTAGGTATCTAGAAATATCACCGATCTCTGCAATCCTTACTGTTTCTCGTAAATTGATTTTTCATCAACCTTAAAGCCACCTATTAAATTGTTGACATTAATGTATCATACTTTATATTCTATACATTATATTTATTTATTTATTTGGGATTTCGAAAATTCAAAACGTAAGTTATTACAGTTGCAGATTGTCCAACTCGGTGGCGTCTGTGCGGCAAGGTCATGCCATCATCGCGTAAACAATTAGCTTTCAAAACAGACTGACGATGTGACAGTTCGAAGACCGGCAATAATTCCGCGAAGACCGTTCGACGCAAAATTAAAAATTAAATTATAACTACCCCGACGAGAATTTAGACGCGACGCGTAGGTACCGGCTGAAATACTAATGAAATAATACAGTCAAATTATGTGTGCTTATATGGCCTAAAATATTTGGCTCACCCAACAGTTTTTGAATATCGAAGGTTCAACAACGTCCAGGGTACACAGGTAAAATATAAACGCTGATGAAATATTTAAAACAATAAAACATTTTCTGGTCGCGAATGGCTTTTTTTCCACTTCTGTGGTTTTTTGATCTCATACATAATACACTCGTCATCAATCGCTGTAATTCAAGTAGGTACTCTCTGTCGGTGGTAGTCGAGCAAAGACATAAAAATAACCTCTTTCGCCGTAGAAATACGTGTTTGAAATATTGATTTTCGCTATTTTTATTTGTCTTCCGGCAGCGATCGCGTTTAGTAAATACGAATCGAACATGAAACTATATATTAGTATTATATTATACTTGCGTAGCTATTTCAGAATGGCCTGCTTAAACCCCTGGACACTCGAAAAACCTGATATGATACGCGTGGGGCGATGATTTTGATACATCGATGGACAGGTCGTTCCGAGTTTTTCGAAGCAATTAATGGTTTTGACAATTACAATTTGCGAAATATTTTTTGTGGAGGAAAATATTTCTACGCTAGTTTTTGTGTTTTTTATTATTATCCTACGGATATAACACTTTGTGTCTTTGTGATAAGGTATATACAATTTTAAATATCATATAATAATAACAAAAGTACAATTTGTCTTATGAACTTTTTAAAAAAAAATGATAATACCATATTATAACAAATTATTAATTATAGCAAAGAATGTCAACATTGGCAATAAACATTAATCTTCTTAGCGGTTCATTAATTAAATAATTAGAGGAGCAAGGAGGAATATAAAAAGGAACGTGGTATCGTATAGTTCGTCGAGGGATCTCGAAGTTAATTAAACTTAAAAGGAAAGAAGAATCAACTTTCCCTGACTATAGCCCATTTGAGAATTTTAACCCGAGAGGATGCCTATAATGTTATAGTAGTAATAACATGAAATAACAATATTGAAAATAA